TTAATCGTGGTAATCGATTTTTATTCGATTCCCAGCCTCTGAACTTCGACGCGGGGATCATAGTCGCGCTGATAAAAATATAACCGCACGCATCAAATGTCGAACAATTGAAACAAACATTCGTTTGCAGGTTGAGATGTTTCTGCATCAGTTTCGAAAAATCTAAATCAACCGATTAGATCGTTTATGAGAAAAATGAACAGATCAGATACAAAACTGTAAAGACACATTGGAAGAATTTATTATTATTATTTATATTAGTCAAAGTCGCGCAGCTCTGAATCATTGCAATCAATAACATTATTAGGCAATGCATTTCGTGCGAAATAAAAATAAATAAAAATAATTTCGCACGAAATGCATTGCCTAATAATGTTATTAATTGCAATAATTCGGAGCTGCGCGACTTTGTGCCTCCAATTTGTTTATAACCTCTTGGATATCGCTATTCGCTAATATTGCTGTTAATATCGCTGTTAATATTGCTGAATTGTCATCGCCAATATTCGCTGTACTAGTAATAAGAGTTGCCTCGCTAGGTTGTTTTTTTACGTGCACGTTTTTCCGCTTCGCAGCGAACAGAACAACGAAGATGATTTTTCCTTCGAGAATCACGCGAATCTCGAACGTCCGCAGGGAATCCAAAAACTTTTTCCCGCCGTACGAACGACCACGGATTCGGAGATTGGAGTCTACGTTTTCGAACGACCCCATAAAATTTGATGCGCGATCTTTTGTTGCCGTTTTATTGCGCTTTGAATGGGAAATGCGACGTCGACCTTAAAATTACCCAAGGTACACGACACGCGGGATGCATCTCTCTTGCAGTTCATGCTGCTGATGCAGAGGCGTGTGTTCCAGCGTGCGTTTATACAAACGGCATTTTACGGAAAAATATGTTGGATTCCGCCGAAAATATCCGACGATACAAATTTAGATCCGGACGCGCGTTGTATGCTTCGGATTATGATAATGCCGGCGCCACGGTTGCCGCTCAAAGCGCGCCAAAACGGCGCACAACAAATCGCGCGTCGAGTTTTACGGGGCCGTTTTTCATGGGGAGACTTCCAATCTTCGAATCCGCGGTTAAATTGAGTTCGCGGACGAAACCTTTCTCGAAGATCCTGGAGACGTTAGAACCTCTGTAAAAAACGACTCGTAAAAACATTTTTACGAAGTGATTTTCACATTTTCGCTCTATGTGTTTCCTTCTTTCTTTTCTTCTTTTTTAAATGTAGAAACATTTTTTTAACGAGGCAACTCGGGGGAACGAAAGGGCAGGATTTACGATTTTAAATGAGCATAGGTGCGCGACTGTCGGATCTTTTTTCACGAAGTCGCGGCGGTTTGAAATGTTAAAAATTTCGCGGTCGGAGCACAGTTGCTCTTTCAGAGGGATTTATTCGTAACTGCGTAATAAAAACGAGTGATTAAGCTGTATCACGTTACTCTGGAGGGTCCGTAGAACACTATTACATCGGATAGAAGGGCGTTACAGGCATCGTTGCAACGCGAAACGTCATCGAAGTCGACGATTCGCGCTTTTTCTTCGAGAACTGATTCTTCGCTCGACTCTTTGAAATCGGCCGTGCCGAAAGGAACACAGAATTGTTTCGATATAAAATACGAAAGATCGACTTTCGGCCAGGAATTACCGATGTGCCAGACCGCCGTGCACCGAAACGCACCGATTCATAATTCGAGGATCGTATTAGCTGCGCGGCTGGCTTTTTCCCGGCGGAAAGTAAACGACCTCGCGGAGATAAATGACGTCGAATGGTGATAAGAGCGGGCGGAAATTGAAAGAAACGGATCGAACGAGATTAAATCAAGTAGCAGAAAACTGGCGGAAATAAATTAGGGGAGGATCGGATTAAGGAAAAGCTGTTTGCAGGGGAATTCATTAGATCGGTGCGTGACTTTCGAGACGCTGATTGTTCGGAAAAGTCTTACACGCCGGGCGCGAGGCTCCATCGTTTAATCGGAACAAGCTCTGACGGCTTGAAATTAGGAAAAATCGGATATCCAGCGGCGAGCGGATCGGAAGCGGACGAGGGAATCCGCGCGCGGATCGTTCGCGCACGATCGCCGTCGATTCTCCGATATTTCCCAGCTTCGAGCACGGAACCCGGAAAGACTTTTTTAACGTCGCGTTACGCGGCGCGATTAACCCTTTGCTCTCTGTAACATCGCGTCGGATCCGTTGCGAAGATTTCGAACAGGTATTTAAATCGAAATAAAATTCTACTTCTTTCGATTATCGATAGCTAAACGTGATTTAAGCGTAACAGATATCGTCGCATCTTTACATTATGTATTTTTTGCATTGATTATAATAGACACGTATACTTCAAAAATAAATGCTATTTTTTGTGCGTTTATGTATTAAATTTTTATAGTAGATATATAATAATAATAATAATTATTATTATTATTATTACTTAAGTTACAGGAAACAGACACTAAATAATGTAAAAAATTTGGGATTTAGATAATAAATGAGTAAAGCGATTTGTTGGTACTTATAACGTAGATTCTTGTGAAGCACAATTTGTTAGTTAAATTAGAGAGGAAAGTTTGAATATTAAATTAAATTAAATCAATTTTAAGAGGCAGATAGATAAATATTGAAAAATACGAGCGACAAAGTCTGAGATCGGTTTCCCTAAAAAGTACCAGAATAGCGTATCCTCCGAGACTTAAGAATAATGTCAAATTGACAGCAGGAAGGGACGATGGTTAATAACCGCCACCAAGCAAGGTCGTACTTTATTGACGGCCCGATACTCTTTAACTTCGTTCGCGATTCATAGATCATGCTTAACTGGTGAAGTTTCGACAGAAATTGATCACAAGCTGATCTTCTTTCCTGTATCGTTCTTAGGATCGGACAACATTAATCTTCGGTGCAGCCTTTATCGTTGCAACAAGGGAAATCGTAAATTATAATTGAATCTTCGGCTTAGAGTGCGCACATTCGGGGATAATATCGAAGCGGCGCACCGTTCCGCGGAAAATTTAATAACAACGGGCATTGCGCGGAGCCACGAGCTGGCACGGTGGATACAAGATTAACGTCGGGGGTTGCGGGGGAAGTTCATTTCGAAGGTATTTCGAAAAATCTCGAACCCTTCTCGAGGATCCAAGAGGGTTTACGAACTTCTTTGGCGTGGAATTAGATTTTTCGCTTTTAGAAGGCGATTCTGATTTTAACTCTGAAGCGAAATTAATCCTCGACTTACGAAATTATATAAGTACACGGCATTTATGTACTATGATTTTTTACAACCGATTTTTGAAGCGTTCAATTAATTGTTTCGCTTCGCCTAGCCTCGCGTTAGATCGGTTAACATTGCGACATTGGAGTTTAAAGCGGACCGTGGACGGAAGCAAAATTGATGAAACTTCACGGTTTTAATATTTAAGAAGCCCTTCTGAAGTCTTTAATTATTTCGAGACGTTCACAAGGGGATTTCATCTTCGAGAATACGTGCTGCAAATTCGAATCGATACAGAGCGGAGAGAAATAGTAGCGGGTGAAATAAATCTTTCACGTTTGACCCAACTTCGAATCCTACCCTCGAATCCTAGGGAGAAGCTAATGTCATAATTATTTTTAGAAATCCTAGGAACTGATTGCCCGAGGCAACGGAAACCAGTTTCAGGAAACCGAAACGTCCGAACAGGAATCGAAAAACAACGGAGAGCCAAATGTTTCAATTATTTTCTTCAACGAGCAGATAAGATCACGGCGAAGATACGCGGTTTAATCTGAAAGAATTCACGAAGAAGCGGGGTTATTTCTTTGATCTTCTTTCGCCCTTTCGTTTTTTCTCGGCCAGAAATCGCGGGGAAGCTAATATCCTAATTAAATTCGAAAGGAACGAAGGAAACAGCTTGAAGCAAGACGCGATGTTTCCGAGAACAAAACGAGAGTCCTGCGGCTGAAGGAACCGAAGGTGGAACGAGTCTTCTACTTTTGATCCTCTTTTCCAATCTTATCCTCCGATCCAGGGGAAGCTAATAGCCTAACTATTTTTAGGAACGGATAAAGTCGTTATCGCGAGGCAAATGCCTGATATTTAAGCAAACCAGAACGATCTTATATTTTTCTTTAAGCGTTTAAACGTTTAAGAAAGGTGTTATGCTCGCGATTCGTTTTTAGGAAATTCGTAAAAAAGACAGACGGAGATATCTTCGAATAGTAATGAAACCCTCGAGACAAATGAATCTCTATTATCGTTGAAAGAATTAATCCTAATCGTCTTCACGCATTTCCTGTACCAATACCCTGTAAATAGTTCATTATTGTTCCGTTTGCGCAGCGACAGTTTCCTTAAATCTGCTGAAAACGTAAAATTACGAGCGAAACAAAATTCGTCGACGGAAAGTACAATATTAAAATACGAACAAAGTATCGTATCGACGGTATCATCGCCGAAGAGCCGCCGCAATGGCGTAGAACGGACGGGATCGCCGATAAAGCACAGAAGGAAGAAACGAATCCGCGAACTTTCGGCACTCGTTCGAAACTTATCCCGGCGATCTCGGCGGCGCCGAATGTCTTAATTATTTTCCGAAATGAGGGAGAACGACATCTTGAAGGGAACGCGCGATGTTTCATGGGACCGAATCGATACTAAGCCCGGAGGAACTAAGGGAGAAACGAATCTTCCACTTTTGACCCTCTTTCGAAACTTATCCTCTCAACTCCGAGAAGCCTCAACGAAATGTTCAGATAATGAATACCTAGCCGGAGCCTGTTGGAGATCGGCGAGGGGTGGGGAGGGGTAAGGGGGGATGGCGACGGGGTACCGAAACTTCGCCGAGATTATTTTACTCTCCTCTGCCGATCGAAATGCCGATAAAGAAACGCTTATCGTCTCGAGTGAATCACTTTTCTGCGGGGTACACCGGTGCTCCGCTGTTCGACGGTGCACGGGGAATGGAGATTGCATGCATGCATGCATGCATATATATATATACACCGATACACTTACCGTGAACATCCAGTTTGATGTCGACGGTGAGGGGTTCAACGAGCGCTGTACTGTTGACTTTACACGTGAAAGTTGCGCCGAGCTCCTCGCGCGTGATTTGCATCTGCAGCAGGCTACTGGCCGTACCTATCCCGTTGTCACCGATCGTCGTCGAGTTCGTCGCTGAAACACAACCGTGGCAGAGACGTGTTTAGATGTGTTTTTAGATCGAATTCCGTGATGGCTACGTGCCGGCCGTATACATCCTACCCGGAAATGCTGCACGATTTTTGCCGGCCAGCCCGCGCCCCGGCCGCGTTCGAGCTGACAAATCTCATTTGCCCCGCGTGCTGCGTATTCCTGTCGTTGATCCGGCGATTGCTGTACGCTACACGAAATTTCATTACCCAACGAGCACGCGGATATTTACCGTTGATGCCTCCGTATTCTAAATAATAATCTATTTTATTCGGAACAAAGCAGTCACAGCGAATTCTCCCCAGTTCTCCCCAATTTTCTCGGAGCCTGTAAACGAATAATGCATGATTTGGGAAGAGGAGATGCGATTATTATATATATAAATAAATATATAAAAAATCTTCTCTTCCCAATTTGTCCATTTTGGTTTACAGAGAATTTACTATATTTCTAGATTGTGTTTTCTTCCTTCAGGAATCGTTTTCGTTTCGTACATTGTCGCGTCGTTAACAATTCTTTTATATTGGACTTCGTATGGATCTTGAAGCAACGTACGAATTAGAAGCGCGAATATTTTTTAAATTACAAGAATCGTATCTTTTGAATAGTTTCAAAATGTATATAGACACTGTATAATAATCGCAAGTATAATATTGCAATATATACATGCTATATATATATATATGCTATATTGTAATAACAGTTTGATAATATTGTAAATTCTATTACATTACATAATAATAAAAAAAATATTTATTGTTACTAGAAATCTGCTAACAGCTTGATGAGATAAAAATTTCTTTCAAGCTGTTAGCAGATTTCTAGTAACAATGTAAATATTTTTACTCCACGTTAAATTACAGTATTATATAAAAAATGTACTTGTAATATACTTAACACAGTAATATATTATAATATATCTGTCTAATATATTTTATATAATTATATAATATTTTTTATAATATATTTTATATAATATATTTTCTAGAAATTATGCTTTTATTATGAGAATAGCGGTTAGATCTTATGATATACCGGAAAGGCACGAAAAGATTCCACAAAGACATGTACAAAGATCTAATTAAACCTGTTCCATCGGTTAAGGAATGTTCACGGCGTTTTCCCCTGCACAAAGGGGAAACAGAATTTCGGCTTTTGAGATGGATTCCCTTGTAAAACTTTCTTACTGATCAAAGGAGGAGGAGCGCGCAAAGAAAGCACACATAATATGAACATGTTTTTCTTTGATACTTGCGTGGCCCCCGAAGGAAGGCCAGTCTGAATGCATCTTCCAGATTACAACACCTGGCATAATCCACTTTATTCTCCGCACCGTTTGCAGAGACTCCTCTGTTGATTTCTGCGCAGGACTTCTGCATACAAAGTTGCGTCTTAATTATGCTTTGCTCCGGTCAAGAATATTTACGTTATTCCGCGCGGGCTGAGATTCTCTACAATTCGTTTCGGGAATTATCGCGAGACATTTTTGCTCTCCCTCTCTCACTCTCTGTCTAATTGTTATTTTCCGAAATTTGAATAATTTCAATTGAATTTAATCTACCGGCGTCCACTGTACTTCGGGAGAATAATGCAGCGTTAAATTCTAGACCGCGTTTTCGCGATTCCAATGCGCATTTCTGCGAACCGAATGGCTAAAATCCGCGAGAGAATAGATCTCTTTTTGTTTTCCTTCATGCCGTATTTTATTTATGAAATCATTGATACGGAATAAACGTGAAACGTCTGCGCGAAATTGTTGATTACATTTTTCTTGGTTCCTCTATGCAATTGTATTTTGCTCCCGAGAGAATGCTCCACTTTGCTCGTTCACGAATTGTGCAAAATGGTAATTTTAATGATCCAGAAATGATTGACAATTTCTTATTTCGTTGAGGGCAAACCGGGCAACACGTTTATGCAACAGCAGGATTTACGGCATTGTATACATCGTGAGCAACAAAATGATAACAGCGTGTCGTAAAAATTGAAAATGGAGATGTAAAACTGAAAGATGGAACGAGTAAAGTCCCCTATTACAAGAGATTAAACAGTTTATAGAGACTGCGTTAAAAAGTTAAGAGCGAGTGGGCTGTAAGTAACGAAGGAAACAAAATTGCGTGGCACGGAAATAACAATTTTTGTTGAACAAGGTTTTCAAGACTGCGCTGCGCCACCAAGTGACTTAACATCGCGATAAAATTTTCCGGTGGACTTACTATAAAATAAAAATTATACAATAAGAGAGAACAGTAGTTTCTTTTGAACAAGATTTTCCAAGATAAACAGCGTCGTCGACTGACCATAAAATAAAAATTATACATCAAGAGAAGGATAAATTTCGTCGAACAAGGCCTCTCGATAAAAGATAGAATTTATCGATGGATTTGATAAGGGATCCGATTTCGTGTACCGGAAGCTACGCCGTGAAGAATCCGGCGGTGGAACAACGCGAGACCCGCGTTAAGATCTAGTAAAAATATTTGGCCGTGCTCACCTTCCAGCAGCTGATCGTCTTTATACCATTCGACCGAAGGCACTGGTTTTCCTTCGCCGCTTTCGCAATACAACGAAATCATGGAACCTTCGTTGATAGGCCCTAAAGTGGTCCCGGTGCTTAACGGGCTCTTGGTGCTCTCGTCGATGACACGTACGGACTTCGGATGCACTGAAACAGAAAGGACGCGCGGCTGAATTGGAAGTCGGTCAATTACGCGGCGAAAAAGTGGCTTCGATTCATCCGACTATTATTGCTGCTACTCAGCGAATACGGTCGCTTACGCTGCAGTCTTTGCGTTTCCACGTTTTGATAACTGTCTATCGGTTTTGCTCGGGAAACCGTTCAAACGATTCGATGCGACCCGCGACTATAAATGCGCGCGGCCGATAAATTCGTCGTTAATATCGAAGCGCGACGCGTCGACGCGCCGATAAAACGGCAAACAAGAGTTACACATTTTCAATTGCCTGCTTTTCCGAAACGAACGTTCGTCGCTATTATTGTTACGGTGTTTGATTTTATTGTTCGGCCGTTATCGGAGATTAACCTGTCACGAATTTAACGCGATTGTTTCATCTTGTAATAAGAAAACATTTTCACGCGTTTCATGGATTTTACGGGACGAAAATGACCGAGCGAAGTGCAACACCGCGAAGACACGAGTTCGCGGATACCGTTGCCCTAATTTCCAGTTGTTCTAATTACCGATAAAGGGAAGACGTTTACGTGTAACTTGCGTTTCTTGGGATTAACTCGGATCATTTTTGCATAAAGATCTGCGGTGTACAGTACATTCTCCCTGATTCGCGGTCAGATTCTGCAGAAAAATGGACGATTCGAGAAGACGATTTGCTCGTTTTTATAGTCGTTGACAACCGGTAACTATAAAAACGATTACAACGAAAGCAAATCGTCCATTTTTCTGCAAAAATGTCTCGCAATCCGAAAGTAGGGGATTCTTGAGGTGTTTTGAAGCAACTTTTTCCTTAGCGAAAATGCGATCCGCGGCTTCGTTTACGAGTTATCAACGAAAAACACTGACCAATGAGAGGCGAGCTCGGCCAGCGGAAGGCGGTCGAGCCGTCGAAGCTCAGTTCCGCTCATTGGCCCGGCCGCCTAGCGCCAGTCTCGCGTCAGCTGATCTCGCCTCTCATTGGTCACTGTTTTTCGTTAATAACTCGTAAACGAACCCTCGGAGAAAATTTTCACAAAGGAAAAAGTTGCTTCAAATGCCCTTAGGAACCTCAAATTTGCGGATTACGAGACATTTTCGGGACACCCTGTATAGCTAGTTAATTAAAGACAAGATTGGAAGCTTCGAATCGCAAGCTTCGAGCGTTCGTCGAAGACAAATACCGAGATAAAAATTCGCGAACTGGCTGCACGAGCGCTGACAATGCTGCCAATGACACACGTTTCAGAGCCACGATGCTTCGACCGTCCAAAAACTGCTGTTCGCACGAGAATTGTCGGGCAAACTTCGCGCCAAATATGACAATAAGGTCTCTGGGTGTTCTCGGTCCTCTCATTCAGCGTGGCAAGCACTGTCTCTCTCGAATTTAATATCTTAGAGAAAGAGAAGCGAGAGAGAGAGAGAGAGAGAGAGAGAGAGAAGAAAAAGGGAGAAAGAGAAGAGAAAAGAGATAGAGTTTCCGCATCGCTGGTACGTTTGGATCTAGTTTTTAATTCGTGTCTCCCGCCGGAGGAGTTCCCATTGTGGGACAGAGAGCTGTGCGGGAGCCGGCCCGACTCGGCCCGGCTCGGCCCGGCAAAGCGAGGCCGGTTTCAAAACGACCAAGAGAATTGAAGCGGACCACCTTTTCTCGGGGACGAGCCGGCTATGAATAACCTTTTCAGCGCGTGCAAGTGCCGCTGTTTCCGGAAGCCGGGCTCGCGTCCTCGGTCGCTGACCAGCCGGAATTCTGCGGGGGTGGGCCACTGAATGTCAAGTAACTGTTTTCTCGCTGGAAAATTCATCTTGCCGGCCGGGCTTCCGAGGCGCCGCCAACTTTTTCCCCGCGATCGCCGCTCGCGGACCCTCTAAACCAGGCCTGGACGATTCCAATGACCTGTCTCGACTGTCCGATGACGGATACCCGTGTCGAAGTTCCGCGGATACAGCGACAAAATGGCGGATCGACGAACGCGATCAGTTCTCGCACAGCAATGGAACATTCAGATCCGGTCGCCGAGTCGAAACAGTCGGCGCGTCGCTGAATTCTCTTTTTCATAGCGAACACGCGAAGGTTGTTTCCCCGCATAGAAAATCCTCTAGCTCGGAATAAATATTTAAAAATTTTATAACAATCTATCGATTATTATCTATATCGCGGCAACTGTTCGCCGCAAAAATCAGCTAATCGCAAGTCCCAAACGAGTCCCGCGGAGTCCCCAAAGGATCGACCGGCGAGTTGGCGAACAAGTTATGCCGGCCAAAATCCGAGTTCGAACCGCTCCGCGATTATATTGTTACACGGCCGTAACACGATTCAACTACGAATGTTTCGCCAAACCTATTAGCAGTTCTCGAGGTGTTAGCCAGCGCTGGAAACGAGCACGGCGATGGTGCTCGACCGCTCTGACAGTAATAAGCATCCAGACCGTGCGAATATATTTGCGTTGACCGGCGAGACATCCGCGGCGCGGCCGCTCGACCGTTCAAGAATCAATCGCCGGGAAACAATGAGGCTTTCGCCGATAACCGGTCCAGGTGTACGTTGGATCCATAACGGGTCGATTAGAGCCGAAGGAGGACTGGTCGATTTGTTTATAAAATTTTGGAGGATTTGTTCGGCGCGTCTGTTACAGTCGTTTCGCACGTAAACGACAAATTTCGGAAAAAATCGCGACTCGGTATTCTGGGATTCGCCGGTTTCAATTCCGACTTTGGGACATTTCTGGGAGAAATTAGAAGTCTGGAGGATCTGTTTGGTGCGGCTGTTTCAGTCGTTTCGCACGGAAATGAATTTCGGAAATAAATTTCGAAAAAATTCGCGACTCGCTATTCTGGGATTCGCCGGTTTCATTTCCGACTTTGGGACATTTTTGGGAGAAATCAATCGCCAGGAAACAATGAGGCTTTCGCCGATAATCGGCCGAGGTGTGCTTTGGATCCATAACGGGTCGATTAGAGCCGAAGGATTTGTTTAGAGGACTGGTCGATTTGTTTATAGAACTCTGGAGGATTTGTTCGGCGCGTCTGTTACAGTCGTTTCGCACGGAAACGACAAATTTCAGAAAAAATCGTGACTCGCTATTCTGGGATCTGCCGGTTTCGTTTCCGACTTTGGGACATTTCCGGGAGAAATTAGAACTCTGGAGGATTTGTTCGGTGCGTCTGTTCCAGTCGTTTCTCACGGAAATGAATTTCGGAAATAAATTTCGAAAGAAATCGCGACTCGGTATTCCGGTATTCGCCGGTTTCATTTCCGACTTCGGGACATTTGTGGGAGAAATTGCTGTAATCCACAGATTTTTGGATAGCTTTTACGTCGCGTCTCTTTACACTTTGCTCGCGCAGTAAGAATGAAACATGGCAGCAGAGAAGTGTATTCATAGGCGGTTGCTCTAGGGAGCACGTAGTGCATCATGTTCATGTGGGGCAGGAAAAATTTAGGAGCACAATTACACCGGGAGCACCACTTACCGCGGGTTATAGTTGAGCCTCACTTATGTAATAAATCACCGAATCCCAGCGCGGCGATTTTATATCGCGGCCGCATATAAGTTCGCGGGGAAATGAAAGAGCTGCGATAATGTTCGAACGAAATACAAAGTACATACAAGGCGGATGCAACGGAGCTGTCGTTCAACATTGACCGGTAAAATTTTACTATCGTGTCAGAGTTCATTTGTCGATGTAATTTTCAGAATTTTGATGTAAAAATCCCGCGAATCGCGATGAAAATGCTGATCGTTCCGGTAAACGTCGTTCGAAATTGCATGGAATTGCGATAAAACGAACACGCGTGCACGTTTGTAATGTCACAATTTTATAATTTCACCCGGGAATTGCCTATCGGCAGAATTGTTAATTACTATGCGAGATCGACTACGAAATTAAATGTTTTCAAAAGCTTTTCCGCGACGGGTAAAACAGTTTACCGAATATAAAATACGTCTGCGACGTAAAATGAAATCGGTGATTTTGTAATTTACAATTTGAAAGAATGTTCGAAATTGCTGTTTGCTGTTAAGTAGCTCTAATCACAGGATCCTGTCGATTACGAAACGGTTCGTTCGAAACTGAATCTAGAATCTTCGATAAGCAACGCGAGTTGTCGAGTGCAACGAACGGATGCGCTGAATTAGATTAAAAGAATGCTTGTAACTTCGCGGTATTCGGAGCAAAGGTATCGACGAGTTATCTGTCGTTTTCTTTTTTTTGCCAGTTTTCGAATAGCAATATCTCGTTAGTATTTGGGTCGCGCGCGCTGTATCGGTGACAGTGCGTCATCAAACTCTTGATGAAGCTAGTTGTAATGCTGACGAGGCGTTTGTATAGACATCCAAAAGGACACTGTTTGCACGTGGAAGCCTCGAAGCGCATTGAGTGCAAATACATCCTCGGTCTTGCACCGAAACTCGCGGTTTCGTACGTATACTTCGTGAGAAATTTAAGTCGTTGCCGAACTCCGCCTAGATTTCATTCGGCTGTTCGTTAAAGAACTTTCGACGAGCTTCGAATAGAATTTGGCTGTTGGTAAAACGACAGCTGCCGCGATTATTTCAATAAAAATCTGAAATCAAAAGTTTCGCGCTATTCCACGAAACTTCGAAATGCAATCAAACATCCGTTCGAAACGAATCCGCGCGTTCGATTGAAAAATATCTGTTGAGCGCGGGCGATTTATTGTCCGTGCATCGGAAATGATGAATAAATGTTTACGGGACAAATTTGTTCCCGATCGGTCGAATTTAACAAAAATCAAGGTGGACGTTGTGGAGCTCTCGCGCGATCCGTTCGATCTCTCTCTCTCGAAAAAAAAAAAAAAATGGAATATGTCAAATCTGGATTATAACGAAGCCTTCCGTGCTCCACTCTGCCATACGGCTCCTCACTTTATTACGCAAATAACGAGAAAACGGGGAGAGTACTGGGCGACAGTTATACCATAAAAAGTCGCTTCGCATGTCTCTCTCTCTCTCTCTCTCTCTCTCCCTCTCCA